TAAATGCCTGGGCCTACTTGAGCATTGTTTCTGACCATGTCCATCCCTTTATGCCACCATGTACCCATCCTCTGATGGCTACTTCCAGCAGGATAATGCACCATGTCACAAAGCTTGAATCACTTCAAATTGGTTTCTGAACATGACAATGAGTTCACAGTACTAAAATGGCCCCCACAATCACCAGATCTCAACCCAATAGAGCATCTTTAGATGTGGTGGAACGGGAGCTTCGTGCCCTGGATGTGCATCCCACAAATCTCCATCAACTGCAAGATGCTATCCTATCAATATGGGCCAACATTTCTAAAGAATGTTTTCAGCACCTTGTTGAATCAATTCCACGTAGAATTCAGGCAGTTCTGAAGGCGAAAGGGGGTCAAACACAATATTAGTATGGTGTTCCTAATAATCAGTTAGGTGAGTGTATACATTATGGGGAAAAATGCCAATATCCAAAATCCTTGTCCTTGTGGAAAACAGCTTATAAATCATACTAAATTGTGTTTTTGTTTTTTTTTATGTAAAAATGTGGAATGTTTTCGAAAGGGGTAGGTTTAGAAAATTCTGATAATACTTTACACAACAAGCCCAACATATGCATGTGTGTGTTTACTTTCCATTGGCTCTGCCCCCATGCATGGGCTGACGTGGCTCACTGGCTCTATAGATTGAGGAGGGGGCAAAAGGGCTTGTGAAACCTCTGCTACTCAAATTCCTCCAGCCATCCTCTGTCAACACAGCTCTGCCATGTCACACACAAACACAACTATAGAGTGTGATGACAGTTCATCCCTGCTGAAAACAGCAATTTATGCCAAGAACCAGCTTCATGACATTTAACAAAACATATTTTTTACAAGTACATCATCACATTCACATTAAAAGTACCAAATATATTTAATTTGATACAGCTGCAAACTACAGCCTCAGAGATTGTAGCAGATATTTTTATGAGCTTTTCAACGACTCATTGTTCACTTATACATCTGTTTTGGAGTTACAAATCTGATAAAAGCAACAAAGAGTCAAATCTCTTAGAAGAAAATCACAAAAAACAAGCACACATCGGTAAAGACAAACATGTTTTGCTCAAGTACATAAAATACAGAAGGATCATTGACTAGAGCAGGAGAGATTCCCACAGTCACACCTGACGCACTGACAGAGTTTATCATTCACACTAACTCAGAGACTCTCCCTCCCTCCACCGTCCTGAGAATATACACTGTCATATCAGTATATACACATATCGGCTACACTGTGAAAATGTATGTGAAGTGTTTACGCAGAGAACAAGAGCAAGAGAGATAGACAGTGAAAAATTGAGGTGTGCAAGAAAAAGACTGAAACACGACATACAGTTTGATAACTTGCTGTGTAGACATTGTTAGTAATCCCAGCGGTTTCACAGAATGATGAATCCAGCCGACAGCAACACAAACCTCACGAAATACCTCGCTATTCACTAATATATGTCCCTGCAGAGGTGCTCGCTTCACGCATGCATTTTGTCCTCAGTTCTTAAGGTAAGTGTGCCATTTGGGACAACTAAAAACAACTGAGACTGTGACAAAAGCCTCTTAGATTGTCAGACCCAAGGAAGCCTACAGTATATCATAATGTCTGGAGAGAGCTATGCATAAGCATTCCCAGATATCTCAACAGCAGCTGCATTGGACTACACAACATTTTGAGTAAATCAACTGAATCATGTAACTAATCACTCTCAAGTGTTGCAAGTGACACAATGAAAATGATGCAACAATTATATTATGATGAAATTTATGCATGTATATTTATAATTAGAATTATATACACTACCATTCATCGGGGTCACTACAACTTTTTCAAAGAAAGTAATCTCTTTTTTCAGCAAAGACTCATTTGATCAAATCAAGAGTGACTGTGAAGACATCACAAAAGATATATATTTCAAAAATATATTTCACAACTTTTCAACATTGATAATAATCAGAAATGTATCTTGAGCAGCAAATCAGCATATCAGAATAATTTCTGAAGGGTCATGTGACTGCAGACTGGAGTAATGTCTGTTAAAAAAAATCAGCTTTGAATCACAGGACTAAATTACATTTTGAGAATATGTTAAAACAGACAACAGTTATTTTAAATAGTAATAGTATTTCACAATATTACAGTTCCTTTTATGGGTCTAGAATGTAATATACAACCTATACAACCAAGGGCTTTCCAACTGAGTTAAATTACTAATTTATTCAGCCCTGACACAATCTCTTATGATATTACATGGCTTTTTTAACCATTAGCCTACATTTTTACATAACAGCATTACACAGATTGTTTGGTCACCTGCCCTATAACTCAACCCTCTGCACACCAATAAACTCCTGCTCCAGCTCTACTCTAGACAGCCATGACTAAAGCCAGCAATCGTCCAGCCGTCTGGACTTTTCTGCACCAATGTTCCTCTACTCTTGGACTCCTGGTTGAGGCCTTCTGAGGTTTGAGTGCATGGGATGAACAACTAAATGGAAACAACTATTGTTGGAAAGAGTGGAACCTGGTTCTGGACATGTTGAAAAGAACAAAACTAAAGGAGAGCAGCAGAAAAGTTCAAGTTAGGATTTAGACCCCACTAAACTGATACTATGCCAGGGTTTTGATTACAGCAATGTTCATGCAAACCTAAAATAAACACACACACACAGCTGTAATGAAATAAACACGATCATTTACAGAATTTCTTTCAGCTCAGTACTTAATATATCTCAATTCTTTTCTAAACGGCTTTGTTAACTTTTATTCACCATGCTTTGTTAATTTAACTTGCCAAAATGCCCAGAATTCCTCAACAGCAGCATCATATAACTGCTGGAACGAACACCTGAGTCTAAAGGGAAACTTCTTGCATAGTTGTCAAGAAAATCATATCATGTCGATAAGACTAGACAGGCACAAAAGAACAGTCAGCTCTCCTAAACAAGTCTGTGTTTAATTTGATCAGTCATGTCTAATGAGGTCAAAAGCTGTGTTAGCAGCATTAGCTTGAACACCGTTTCACTAATTACAGGACTGTGCCTCTAGGGACATGCTGCTGGATTCCCACTCTTTAAAACTTCCCTCTGTATTACTTAAGACTGTCAGAGTCATTAATCAGGACCGTGTTAGATGAGACTGCCCTCTGGGTCTCCCACGTTTGCGCTCACAATTCTCTTCAGCATTACAGTAGCTTTGCTCATGCTAAAGCAGTCAATTGCAGAAACTCTCACTGTAACCAAGGTCCCTTTAAATTTGTGATGTAACAGACGTAGCGACATATCTTTTCTTTCATATTATGAAGTGCATCAAAGTGAAACAGATTATTGAAAAAGAAAAAATTGAAAAGTGGGGATTTGGATCTATTAATTGGTTGTTGATTGGATGGAGGCAGATCTCAATGCGAGCTGTAATAACAAATTGATTGGAAAAATCCTGCATACATCTGCAGAGAGAAATCTGTTATTTCAGAGTCCAAATTATTGTATAGCCTATTGATTAAACATGCAGGGAACTGATCACAGTAAGATCAATAACTTAACCAATATATCCAGTAATTTTTTATTTAATTGCACACTTGGTGGCCATCTTGGATACCTTAGGTATATAAGCACAGCAATTATTTACTTGAACAGTATAAAAGACAGAAAATCTCCAAACTGTTAGTCAGGATTACAGCAATTACAGCAATAAAATATTATCTTAAATGTCGCTTATTCTGTTCAAATCATGCTATATAACAACATTTTTCAGGCTAGCAGAGTTAATTCAAATTCTAATGTAAACATGCACATCGTCTCCACCTTATACCTTCTCTGATCCAATCTGAGGTACTTCCATAACAAATTAGAGAAGAGAAAGTGGGAGAGAGGTGTCATAGTGGGTGACCTCTGCACATGGTCAATAGGAATGGAATGTGGATTGTTAGGCCACTTGTTGTGCCCCTGTGTAATTTTCAACAGTGCCCCTCCCCTGCCCTTTCCTCTCTTCACCTCTCTCTCTCTCCATCCATCCTTTCTTCCCCCTAATTCCCAGCATTCTTTCGCAAAGCAGTGAGACTTTCAGCCTGTCATTTGACTGCTCCGTTTGTTCGGTAAATAAACTTCTAAAGTTCTTCCTGATAGTGCAAGAAATATCCAAAAACAGTTCATTTCATTAGGTTAATGAAATGAAAATTCACCTTATTTATTTTCTAAATGCACGTATCTTACTGTGAACAATTTGTTTTTTATTATTATTATTATTATTATTATTTAATAATGTTAATTATGGTGAAAACGACAGGTTTCTCTCTGGTGACGTGCAGAATTTTTGCAAGCTTGCATGAATCTGCATTCACTTATGAACAATCACTGGTCTACATCACAATATAGGGATTTCTCAGATCGGATCATGGCATTATCAGCTTTTACAAGTTTTTACAAAACTGAAGTTCACAGTAGTGAACAGAAGAAGAAATCACACGTAGCTGCCATTACTTTGATTGATTTTATTGATTGATTATAGCGTTCCAATATTATGTCGCAAAAGTATAGAAGTTCAGATGGTTAGGTGTGCCTCGAAGTCAAATTGCGCCCCAAAATGATGCTGACAGAAATTCTCGTAGGCTACTTTAAAAAGAAAGTGCACTCTAATAGGCTATAAAGAGAACCGGACATGTTGCTTAATCAGCAAATGTCTTTCATCTTCATTTAACATGTAATTAAACCCTTGCTTACACGCGTGACAGTGTAGTAAACCGCTTTAACAGGTCTGCTTCACGCAGACAGCGGCGTCTCTGTTCGTCTATCTGCCTGCCAGAGGGTTTTCATTAACCTTACCTGCATGCGCGCGCTCCGCTCCACAATAACTCCACTATGTACAAGACCTTCTCAGTTTTCAACCACCACACTTGCTGCAAAAGCAAACCATCTCATCTCTCTCACACACATTATCCGTCCTAAACAGCAGCAGTGCAGAACTACACAACAAATTCTCACCATATCGCAATCCGGTCCTTCGGGTAGTCCAGGCGGTCGATGCAGCCCAAGTAGTACGGCAGGCTGTGCGCCGAGTTCCGAGCCAAAATCGCGATCATGACTTTAGGTTTAAGCAAGGAGGATTCGGGCACGGGATTAAAGTCCTGCACGTGAGCCACAAGTTCTCCACGGCAGTTTTGCGCCATCAGAGCGCAAATCACAGCTACAATCACGAATCCCTCAGCTGGCATCTCTGCCTGATGGACAAAGCTGTCACAACCTGAGCGGGTATACTGTATGTGATTGAATGAGAGGCTGGAAGACAGAGAGAGGGTGGGTAAGGAGGAGTAGAGAGAGGTGGAGAGGTTTAGAGTGGTCACCTTTAAGAAAGTGGGTTGCCTCCTCCAGATTTTCACACCCTTCACCATCACCAGGACAGATCAGTGAGGAGCTTATGAAATATGAAGTTAGTCAGACAAACAAACAGACAGACAGAACCACAAACACACACCTTTGTTTCACTATATTATACTTTCTTTGATTCACAGGTTAATATTTTCTACCACCCAACCCAACTCATATAGCCTAGGTTTTTAGAAAAATATAGCCTAATATTGAAGTGAAAATTCAGTTTATTTTTAAGTGTATTTATTTGCACTTTATTAAAATATATATTTTAGGTATAGCTATATTTTAACTGTGTAGCCTACTGTAAATGATCATTGTATTAAAAATATACTTTCAAAATATATTAGGCTATAGTATACAATATTTTGAACAAAGTATAGCTAAGTTTTGTTTGTCTATTAATGTAGCCTACATTTGTTATTGAAGACAAAGTATACAATTTGTGATATTTGAAGAAAGCCAAAGGTATTAATCAGCCTATACTTCGTAATGAATTTGTAATGTACTAGTAGGCCTAACACAAATAAAGTAGGCCTAATTTATGTTTTAATATCACTAATCAAATCAATCAATCATGTAATTAGTCCCTACACAGGCATACCAGGTTAGGCTATTGTATAGGTAAGTACTTGAAGTTGATCCAATTTAGTACACTAAATAGACTTAGTTATGCTTTACTACAATTTAATTTGTATCAAAATAGCACACTTCAAGTTAATCATTAACACACTTGAAGTAGCCTACTGATAATTAGTAGGCTGCAAGTAGGCTAGAGTTAGCATTTTTTTCACCAGGGTAAAGTTGAAAAAAAAAGGGATATATAATTGTTTATTCATTATTTGGGATTTTGAAACGCTGTTGTATAGAGGGATTTATATTCCCTGCTCGATATCATTCCATTCGCGTCTCGTCGTGATTCCTAACTCTTCTGAGAGTTCACGAGAACATGATCGAATTCACTAACGTTCCAGCTGACACCTGCTCCCTTTTGGCGAATAGCAAGCAGTAAATTGTAGCCTATTGTTTGTAGCTATAGCCTAATAACTGTAGCCTATGGAATTTGGGCGCAAAACAAGGTTACAATTAGGCTAAGAGTGGGTTTATTTAGTTTTTGACAGAAATCTTTTAAAAGTAGCCGACCTAAAGAAGTGATTTTTTTTTTCTTTTCTCTATGGACATTTGACTTCACTTCTGCATTTTATTGCGCTGTTTAAAACGTTTAGCCTACATTTAATATTGTGGCGACCCCTAGTGTTTAAAAGTGAAAGAAAAAAGTATAAAATGAGCGAGTCAAAATGTTGTTTTAATGCCAGTTAGCATTTAGAAATGTTTGTGCGGTTTGCCTGCTAAATTCAGTTTAAGCATCTGAATTTTGCAACAGAAGCGGATAAATAGTGAACATACGCTAGAATGAAACATAGCCTACGCCATATGAAAAAGGTGCAAGTGGACAGGCAATGAAAGCTAAAAATCAAGACTTAGCCTATTCATGTATGGTCAATACAAGGGAATGTAGCCTATATTAAATACCTGTACAACTACAGGTTCTCCTTAAAAACATATTTGACATTATAAGAAAAGTGATTTAAAAAGTAGCCCTATGTCCTACGTTTTGATTTGGCTGACAGAAAAACTCTGAGCACAATGCAGCAGACAGCTGGCTCAGAGCTCTGGTTGGTGAAAACCTGGTTTCCGTCTGCTACATCCATGTCTGGTACAAATACTCACATCAAATTAGTTATTCTGACAGTTACCGCAATATTTTCCTCTGCCAGAAATACATGAGAAGTTTGTATCACACCGCTGGTGTAGGCCTATGCATAGGCCAACACTATAGGCAAATGTTACTTCATATTTCAAGAAAAGTGGTTGGGCTATCTGTCAGTGGGGAAAGGCCATGACAGCTTAGTGAATTGAATTCAGTGTTGAAAGTGAGTTTTTGAAGAGGCTAACTGAAGTTCTGGTGGGAATGTTTTTTTTTTAAAGATGAGTAAATTTCAAAGAGTGTATAATTATGACACTAATGGATCCCATTTATGAAGGGCTACAGTTAAAAGCAAAATTAGGCATGTAGGAAGTGTATAATGGAGGAGAAGAGGGGATGGGAATAGAAAAGAGAGAGATATTTATGTGCAGAATGAGGATAGGGAAAACTGAAAAGGGGAATGAGGGTATAACAGAGGCCTGCTGGATTGAGTTAGATGTAATTGCTGTGAGCTCATGTTGGCAATGTAGAGTGACAACCAAGCCAGAGCTCTCACAGGGCTAAACCCAACTCTCTCAATCTCATATCTTCCTTTCTTCCACTTCTCCTACACACACCAGATGGAGCTCAGTCACACACATACACATTCTCACACATTAAAACCATACAAAACTATCATTCATATCCACTTTAAAAAAACAACCATCATGAAGCCCTCTGTGTTCAATTCCCCTCACCGCTGTCCTACCACCAGCTTAGCCTGGTAAAACTCACATTGTGTCACACCAGCAAACCACGTGAGAGAGAGACTACGGCCAAACTTCCAGAACATGTTGTTCTCTAATGAGGCAGCATTCACATGAGAAGGGATTTATTGGGTTTTACCTCACAGTGGAAAGAATATTCTTTGCCCATTATTCCTGACCGTCTGGTTTTCCTCTTCTCTGAAGATACTTTTAGAGCTGTACTAGAACGCCAAGATGAAATAACCACAGGTCATGCATGTGTAGTGTGACAATGTTGAAAATATAGATATAAAAAATATCAATAAGGACAATCCTGTTTACACTCAAGATTTTATCAAACAGATTTGAAGGCAGAATGTATTATTTTTTTATTCTGTGCAAAATACAGTAAAGTACAAACTGTCCTTTGACTATAAACACACAGACATATATATATATATATATATATATATATATATATATATATAAAGATGGTTTAATCTTTATAAAGTGAAAAAGATGGTAAATTACAGTGTGTGTGTAAATATATATACACACACATAATTTATAAGCCTTGTTCACCAATTATTGGCAGTAATTTACAATCTTTACCGCTTTTTGGGATCTCGTTCCTAGTAAGAATACTACAATGCCCTGAAGTCCAGTGATATAAAATGTAAAAAAAAAAAAAAAAAAAAAAAATTATAATCTAAGAATAAATTGAAATATTGCATTCTAAAATATTGTGCATGTGTTCATTACATAATATGGAGAGAGAGGGGATATTTGTGTGCAATTAATGAATTAGTCACAATATAATAAATAATTCTGTACAGAAGCACTGAAAAGTAGGCTACTAGTAAAGGCAAACATTATTATAAGGACTGAAAAAAACATTTAATGAAATAGTGACCAATCACAGCATCTAAAATAGTCACTATGACAAAAAATAATGAAAAAAAAAAAAAAAAAACTAACTAAAATCATGATGCTCAATTTAAAAAAAAAAATTCTTTACAACTAGCTAGACATTTTTAATGTAGTTCTGCTCTTCAACCTCCAGGTGGAGACAAAACACAACAAGTGAATGAAAACAAAATGCAGAGTTGGTTCGTCAACAGCTCCAAATGTCTTGTTTGAGGATTCTCCGTTGGACAGCAATTTTTTAGTTAAATTTTTGTAAAGTGTATTACTTGAACTCATGGAAATCTGCACAGTTTTGCATTTGAAATTCAATCCCTGAAGCCAATAAGTATTTTTAACGTTATGAGTCAGACCATCAACAGGAAATATGACGCTAGAATGGATTAATGATGTCAGCAAAGCAGTACATACGTACGTACCTACACACACACACACACACACACACCAACTAACCAATTAATCGGTGAGACAGCACACAAACAGAATCCATAGCTCCTGTGTCTTATATTTTAATAGAAAAAGAAAACATTGAACATAAAAAAGGATTCAATCCAGTAATTATAATGACAGATGCTTGGCCAACGCTGTGTACTTGAAGTGACCCCACCCCACCTCATACTGGTTTGGTGGTCTCCATGAATTGTAAGTGTACAGGCTGACAACCAGATGCATTTTAGCCAACACGACTAAATAAATACTATTAAGTGAGAAAGGCAGGGCGAGGAACAACAGAGGTTACTGTAGCTAAACATACACAGGTCTACGACAAACATTTCATCCGTTTGACATCGATTAACACAGTTAGACCTGGCTCTCTGGCACAGATTAACACAAACACGGGCCTCGAAACACACACACAAAAAAGACAACCCCAGTTCTTTCATTGGACAGCATAAAAAGTCGATTCAGATCTTTAAGTTAAATGCTGTCTGTTTATGGGTGGCTGTAATGGATATATTTGGATATGTGTGAGGGTGACTGCTGGTACTAGTGAGGCTATTTCCGTCCCTTTTGTGAGAATTGAACAAATAATAGCAGGATATACAAATTGAAAGTGAGAACTTGTATGTGGAAAGAGGGTGTGGTGATTATTTTAGCTTTAAGTCTTTCCCCATGTATGTGTGTGTGCACGCGAGCGAGTGTGTTATGGGGTCACTGCACAGCCCTGACCTTTATAGCACACGCTTGAGGAGGTTTCATCTATGCAGTAAAAAATTAAAAATTAAAAATAAACATTAGGGAACAGTCCACAAATTAAAAAAAGTCCTTCAAAAAGCAGGAGTCCAAACCAAATGTTCTAAACTTGCCACATCGCTCTTATCAAAATATCGAAATAATCAGACATATAGTCGCTCTTAATAAAATATCTCTCGTTCAAACCCTCTCCCCCCAAAAAACCCCGCAACACTCCATCTTTACATTCACTCCCCACTATCTCCAGAGGATGTTTGTAAGCTCTCTTCCCGTTTCTCCATAGGTCCGTTTTTTCCTCTTGCTTGCCACATAAAACAAGGACTGGGAGGAGCATCTCGCTTTCCCCGACATAATCTCTCTTTCTCAGATGGCT